GTTGAGAGTAATGTTGAGACATCCGTTTTGACATTTGCTTCCTGGTAACAAATTTCTTTGTTTCCACAAATCCTAGGCCAGATTTATTTCCCATATTTTGTCCAGCCTGAAGAATCTCTTCCAATTTGTCTGTTCCATTGGTCAACATCTTAACTGATTTGGTCATTTGATTCAGTTGTGAGTTCAGCAGTTGAATTTCTCCTTCTAAATGACTTATAGTTTCAAGATTTGCTCTCTTTTCAGCCTCCAGCTTTACAATGAGTTTTGATTGTTTCTCATTTTGCACACAGACTTCACCACTTCTGATACACAATTTCTTGTAGGTATCAGCCAGTTCCTCAAATGTCACTTCTTCATCACTGGTGTCACTTTCAGAAGTACAAACACTAGTTAGGGCAGTAACTAGTTTGGCAGATTCTTCTTCAGAATTGCTTTCTGAATCATAGTCAGACCAGGTAACAGTCATTCCTTTCTTTTGCTTCTTAAGAAAGGTAGGACATTCAGCTCGAATATGTCCATATCCTTCACATCCATGGCATTGAATACCTCTGCCTTGGTTTCCCTTATCTTCTGACCTTGGTCTTCTGCTGTCAATGTCAGAAGGAATGTTATGAACATTAGACTTTGACTTTGGGTCCATTCTTTTGATGAGCCTGTTGAACTGTCTTCCAAGCATGGCAATGGCTTCTGATATGTTTTCTTCTTCATCTTCCTTGTATTCAACATCAGTGTTGGATACAAGTGCTATGCTTTTGTTCTTCTTGTCACCATTATCAGTGATCCCCATCTCAAAAGTCTGAAGAGACCCAATAAGTTCATCCACTTTTAACTTGCTAATGTCCTGGGCTTCCTCTATGGCAGTTACCTTCATTGCAAATCTTTTAGGCAAGGATCTGAGAATCTTCCTCACCAGTTTTTCTTCTGACATTTTTTCTCCCAGTGCTCCTGAGGTGTTGGCAATCTCCAAGATGTTCATGTGAAACTCATGAATGGTTTCATCTTCCATCATTTTTAGATTCTCAAACTTAGTGGTCAACATCTGAAGCCTTGACATTTTTACTTTGGAAGTGCCCTCATGAGTAGTTTTGAGAGTATCCCAAACTTCCTTGGCCAGTTCATATTGATGTACTAGTCTGAAGATGTTTCTATCTATTCCATTGAACAAGGCATTTAAGGCTTTTGAATTTCCCAGAGCTAACTCATCTTCTTCTTTACTCCAATCTTCTTCAGGCTTCAGACTGATTGTCCCATCTCTTTCAGTTATGGTGGGATGAATCCATCCTTTGTCAGCAGCTCTCCAAGCCTTTTTATCCAGAGATTTTAGGAAGGCAATCATACGAGGTTTCCAGTAGTCATAATTAGTTCCATCCAGAATGGGTGGTCTATTTCCAAAAACTCCTTCTTTGTCCATAGTGCCAGAAAGTGATATCCCTAGATCTCACCCAGTAATACAGGCAGGGTGCCTGCTCTGATGCCAATTGAAATTCTGGCTACAGATACTCAATGTCACGTCCAATGTTATGACACCGTATCTGACTTACTATATGACAGTAAATACAAAAGCAGTAAATAACACAGTCAATTGTTTACCCAGTTCAGTGTGCAACAACACCTACTCTGGGGGCTACCAAGCCAGGGAGAGAATTCACTATAAGAGATGTTAATTCAGGAATAAACCAACCAGTTTATCTCCTTCACTTAAGACCTACCCAATGCAATTCTAATCTAAGTTACAACTTAAACCTGAGTTCCTACTCACTCCCCCTCAATCACAGCAGTGATACATAAACCAATTTGACTTGAGAATTGATGAAGACACTCTTCAAAACACACACTTGATTAAGCTTCACAGCTTTTTAATCAAGTAACACAATCACTCGTGCTTCACAGCTTTGAGTGATGCACACAACTAACTTGACTCTGCTTCACAGCTTTAGTCAAGTAACATTCAAACACTCTTGCTTCAAAGCTTTGAGTGCTACACAACCCTTACAATTGAAACCTATTCCAAGACACTTATCACAATGATAATTGCTTGGAGTACAATAAACAAATCTATACAGATTACAAACTTGATCTTCTAATCAATCAGCAGGGATGCTTCAAAAACCGCAACTCTGTTTGAATATATAGCAGCTGCAACTTCAGTTAGGGTTTCCAAAAACCTAGGGTTGATTCCGTTTGACCTTAAGACCAGGTCACAGTACTTTATTGATCAGGTTAGGATTGAGCTAGGTTACTCCTCAGAAAACGCAGGATTCTGTTTAGGAAGGACTGAGTTATTTCCTGAAAAAACTCAGACTTATCCAATCCTGTCTACTGATTAGCAAAATGTGATCATTTTGCAAACATGCTCAGATACACACTTATAAACATCAGTATTTGAGTTACAATATTTTTCTGCACATGTACCTAAAGAGTTAGTACAACCTGAACTAGAATGTTATGACATCAGTCATGACATTCACACATACACTTGGAATTTACCAAAAATGCAAGCCAATACCTAAACACCTACAACCTTCACGGATGGACTGAAGTAGTTTTGAGTTTAACAGAACCAGGATAACCAACATGTATATTGTTTTGATTTTTGAAAACCCCAATTCAAACCCCCTTTCTTGTGTTTTTCTATCATTCATAGCCAACAAAGAATGACGAATGCACAAAAATTAGCTCAAAACTTTTTAAACAAGCAAAGATGTAGTCCATAAAATGAAACAAGCATTGTAAACTAATTACTTGTGAAAGTAAGAAAATGTTGATGTACTTAAGTGTTATGGGCAGTGGAAAACACTAAGTATCATTAACAAGTACTTGGTTCAAAGCATAGAAAATATCATCAAGCAATAAGTTCAAGAACTCGGGTAAAGGAGGGGAATATAGCTTCTAAAGTGTCACCATGTTTGATTGACAAATGAATATACAACCAAAGAATCATAGAAGCATAAGAAAAGATATGAGGAGAGGATATAAGATCAATGACAAAACAAAACAGTTAGATCCTAAGCCTCTAAAAGCTTCACCAATTCACAAGTTTAACACTAGGTGCATTAAAACAAAATGTGGCTCCTATCTTGTCATCATATGAGTTGACAATTGAATATCAATCAAAGAATCAAGGAGAAATGTAATTGAAGAATCAAAGAATTAGAGGTTAGAAGCATACTCAAGAGGTTTCATTCTTAATTGGATCAATCGTATTCAAATAGAAATGTTCAAAGACAATCTCCTAAATCATGGTCACAAAAGATGAACAAATGAACTTCAAAGTTTAATAAGAAAATATGTAATGATAGAGTACTTGAATGGTTCATGAAGATGAAATAAAGTCTATTATCATATCAGCAGGATTAGATAAGAAGAGAAGAATGTGATTCCTCATGGGTTGCACAAGGTACATTCCTTATACCTCAAACATCAAACCAAAGGGGCAAAAGTATGAACAAAATGAAAAGTAAAAGCTAAAAGGATTAAATGAAATCAAATGGTTCTCAAGTCCTTGATGAACTACCCTTGAACAAGTCAGCCATCACACATGATCATTGGGTTCAAATAATCCTCGTGAACAAACCAAAATCACAACAACAATACAATTAGGGTTTCTAGATTAGCCAATCAAAGACTTTAAACAAATAATCATCAACAACTACATATCAATAAATAAAATTAATCAAGTTTGATGTGATCTTAAAGCATTCATATGATCATCATGTGTCCAATAATTGGCCTCTAAACAAGTTCAAGAGTTTCTAAATGAAACTCAACAAGATTCTATATGACTAATGGAACACATTCACTAGACAATTCAAGCAAAAATAGGAAGTGAAATTTAAAATTCAAACCAAAATTATTCATAAATCCTTAAGACTTATAAAATTAATAAACATTAATTAGGGTTCTTGAAAGCTAGAAGAAAGATCAAAATGAGCCTCAATTATCAAGACTAGTTGAGAAAGTCATCAAACTAGATACCTTAACCAAAACATTTAATGAAAGTTAGAAAATCAGAGAATAAAAATTATTAAAAATTATTTCCATGATCCTAATATATTCAATAACCCTAAACAATTTTGTTCTGAATTTTAAAAGAAAAGGAAATAGTAAAATTAATTCAATCTTCAAGCATATACAAACAAAACCACCAAAATTGACAATTAACTTCAACAATTTTTAAATCAAAGCAAAAATATTAATAAATTTTGTTTAATACCATAAAAAATTAAATAAAACATTAAGGATCATCAATAATAATTTTTTCTGGAATTTTAGAATTAAGGGAAAATCAAAATAAAAATCAAAACACAACATGAACAAATACCCTTAAATAAATGACACATTTAATCAATTAATTTAATTACTGTATCACGAATTTTCTAAAAATAAAATAAAAAATATGACACTAAAATAGACTCATCAAAGTGTTTTTTATAATTTTTTAAGAATTTTTATTTAATAAAAATTATAAAACAAAAATGGAAAAGATTGAAGAGATTAATAAGAAATCATGCTGAAAGAAAATATAAACCAAAATGAATGGGATGACACTTGGCAACGGGGCCCAACCAACTGGTCAAAATCCCATACCCTCCAATCAGGGCTCGTCTTCTTTGCTAAGCAACATTAAAACTAGATAATATAAATCATAAACCCGTGTTTAACAGGCCATGTTAATACCCTTGTATCTCCTTCGACATTTTTAAATTCAAACACCAAAATTGTAGTACTCATAAAAAAGGAACAACAAGGCATCCTTAAATTCATCAAATGATCAAGCAATCACACATAAAATGAACATGGAAGTCACAAATTCATACATTTTTTTAGAAACTTTAAACAACACACAAATTCTCAGATTTACAAAAAATCTCATCTCCAACCTAATGTATGGCTCAACTATATGCATATGAACATGATTACATCATTATTAAGCTCTTAAATCCATGATGCAAGCATGAGAGAAAGAGATCAAGAAGATTAACAAGTGGGTGATTTGTCCACTACTTCTTTAAACTCCTTAGCTTAAGAGGCCCATAACAACTTTCCTTATAATCTTCAGGGAGCTTGAAATGAGTGAGTGATTCTAGAATGAAGCTTGCTCGAGAGAAAAATGAAGATTCAAAGATAACTTTTCTTCTTGAGGCAACCAGCTCAGATCTTCTTTCTCTCTCAAAAACATATCCCTGATGGAATGACAATGACAAGAATGATATATAGAGAGTCTGGAGTGAGGTAAAGTGGTGAACAAGTCCTCTAATTTGTTGGGAGGGTATTTTAGACAGAAATTGCAAAATTGGCAAGTTTGGAGCAATGTTGCATTTCATGTGCATTTGGAGCCTATTCTCATGTGTTTGAGAGTACTGAGGATATCATGAATTGAGTGTGAGAGCATGAGCTGGATTGGCACATGATAGAGAGGGAGAGAGATAGAGAGAGAGAGAGAGAGAATTTGTACAACTTGTAATTTCTGAAATTTTATGCAAAAACTAGCCAGCCAGCCATTTCACGTGCATGCTTTACATGCCCTTTGTTTGGACAAAAGAGGTAAAGATGTGAGGTGGTGAGTGTGTGAACATGATATGTGACAAAATTTTGCAGCAAAAAGTGAGTCATGTATGCATAATTTCCAAAAGACCAAATTCTGGCTACAGGCATGAGGCCTCTTGCCCGTCCCAGCCTTATGCCTGTTTCTTTCTCCATTCTCAATATTTTGAAGCGAAATTGGATTCTTTGGAAAGATGAAGCCATATGGAACAAGATTGGTGTTGAGCGGGTTTTGATTTAAAGCTTGGAAGGCACTTGAAATAAGGCACAGAAAATGCTGAATTTGGAAGATGACATACAATCTTTGTTAAGTATCCATAATGACCAAAAGTCCAAAGCTTTATAACTCTTAAAATAATGTGTTTTTGGACATGAGCTCACAAGGACAAACTTGTAGATCTTAAATTCCTCTTTCCAATGATGTAAAGTTTGCAAGTTTATGATGAAAATGGAAAAAGTTGTGATTTTTCAAAGTTTAGCCTACAAAAGGTTAAGTTCCCTAACTTAGTAAAAATTTATAAGTTATAAAAGATAACTTCATTTAAAAGTAAACTAAAAATTCAATAAAACTCTTCATTTTATTTAATCAATTGCCATGTGTTGTACCCCAAAATTTGCCTTCTCATTTCTCAAAGGATCAACCTGGACCCTCAGGTTTGCTTCCATCCAGTTTCAAGTCTTGAATTACAACTTTTCAAGAAAATCATTCACAAGGGCAAAATGGTCAAAAACACACTGAAAAGTCAAACTTTGACTTTTAAATCCAAATCAAGTTTCAACAATTATATTTCATCAAAACATGAAATTGGTTCATCAAAAAACCAGAATTCAGAAGTTACTTTGAAAAAATGAAATTTCTATGCATTTAGAAAATTTTCTAAGTGTTAAGAGAATATGATACTTCAGAACTTCTGAGCCAGCCTCCACGCAAGTGCAGTCAGAAGTTGCAAACACGGTTCAGAACATGACGCTTCAATCAGAACATGTAGAAGTGATGCTCTTTGTTCAGAACATGATGCTTCAATCAGAACATGTAGAAGCGATGCTCTTTGTTTAGAACATGATGCTTCAATCAGAACATGTAGAAGCGATGCTCTTTGTTCAGAACATGATGCTTCAATCAGAACATGTAGAAGCGATGCTCTTTGTTCAGAACATGATGCTTCAATCAGAACATGTAGAAGCGATGCTCTTTGGTCAAAACATTGATTCTTCAGCATATGAAGGCTAGGTTCAACACTCCTTCAGAACATGCTGGAGCAAAAAGATACAAAGATCAGAAGTTGGATGTTCATTCTGAATTATGTTGAGACTGAACCTCTGATCCAGAATTAAGTAATGATGTAGAATCTCACGTTGCAGGATTTCTGGGTTGATCAATCTCATCATCATTTAATGCTCATTTAATGCTCACAACCACTTATGGGTCTTTGTTCAAAGGATTTCTCTACGTGTGGCATAGAAGCACCTTTACTGTCTTGGAAAAGCAAACTCTTGTACAAAAGTGTGTTGGGCCCATGCGCTACTTTTGCTTTGGAATTTACTTTTCCTTAATTCCTGCTTACAATTCCAGTTTAGGCACGGCTAAAAGCTGTTGACCACCTTACTTTGTGCTTTGAGCCATACTTATTTAAACTTGCTTCAAGAGCAAGTCAACGCCTAGCATATGATGGTTGTACTTTTGATTTTCCCAAGCTACTAAATCCTTGCCTATAAATTGAACTACATTTGCAACTGTAAAGAGGTCGGAAAACTTGAGAAAGAAAAGCCTTGAACCCCTGCAAAAATTCCAAGAGTCCAAAAAGATTGCAAACACAAAAATACAAAACCTTAGCATTTGTTTCTTGCATTAAAACTCCACTTTTCCTCAAGTGTTTCTTGACCAGAACCACCCATACAGTTTTTTTATATACGTTCAAAAACCATCCAAACTTCTGTAGTCAAACTATAAAACATTCTCCACCAACTTCCCACTCAAAAAGTCAGAACTTTGTGTTAGAACAATGTTTGAATCTACTACCCTATATTTAAGTTTTGATGATAACAAAGTGAAAAGATATAGTATTTATATGTTTCATGTTTGAACTATCTGCTGCCTAAAATTATTATGTTCTGACTTGCAGATACGCTGATTGAAATAAGCAAGATCACATCTATTCAGCATCAGAATTTGATTTCATACACCAGCATCAGAAGTTGCTACATCAGAATGTCAAGATCAGATGATCAACTCACGTACATGCTGAAGCTTGATGAACAGAACTGCGCTCAAACACTCTGATACAGAAACACAATAGTTCATCAGCAGCGAAGCAGAATCAGAATGAGCCAAGCCAGAACTTGCGTTAAGTAAGCAACGGTACTGTGCATTGAAAGCTAATTAATTCCAACGGCCTCATTCCAGACAAGATCTGCTCAATAAGGAAAGCTTGTTATTAGCATTGAATCAAGAATATTGCATCCAACGTTCATCATCTCAAGTGCTATACAAACAAGGCTTTGAAGATTGAAATGGTTAATGCTCTCCAAATCTCTACACGCACAAAAGCTGAACCATAATCTTCGTTCTACCAGTTTTGCTAAACCACATACTCTGATATTCCATTACTGTTTAGCAATCTAGTTTCTAAGCTTCATTTTGTGTATACATCACAGTTGTGATACAGTTTTGTAGAAAACATCCACACACATAGTTTTATCTCTTTGTAAGAAAGTGTTGCCTTGACAAACCGGTTTGTGGTTTGAATCAAGAAGGCTTTAGCAGTTGTTAAAGCAGTCTGTAATATTCAGTTGAATATAGTGAATTAAGACCTCATTGGAGAGAGGCGAAATCACCTTGACGGGTGGACTGGAGTAGTTTGAGATCAAACGAACCAGGATAAAAATATCTTGTCAATTGTTTTAGATTTCAGTTTTACAATTCAACCCCCCCTTCTTGTGTTTTTCACCACTTCAATTGGCATCAGAGCTCCTGGTTCTGAGCTAAAACACTTAACCGTGTCAGTACAAGATCCAGCGTCAGAAAAACACAATGGCAGGAAACAATTCTCACATCAGCAATGACAACGATGAGGACAGAGACAGATTCAGTGGAAAACCTCCAGTCTTTGATGGAGAAAACTTTGATTACTGGAAAGACAGAATTGAAAGCTTCTTTCTAGCACATGATGCTGATCTGTGGGATATGGTGACAGATGGATACACGCACCCTGTGAATGCAAGTGGTCAGAAGATTGATAGAAAATCAATGCCTGATCAACAAAAGCGTGACTTCAAGAATCACCATAAGGCCAGAACCATCCTCCTCAGTGCCATTTCCTATACTGAGTATGAAAAGATCTCCAACAGAGACACAGCAAAGAACATCTTTGATTCTCTCAGAATGACGCATGAGGGCAACGTTCAGGTCAAAGAAACAAAAGCTCTGACGCTCATTCAGAAGTATGAGGCGTTCAAAATGGAAGAATCTGAATCCATTGAAACTATGTTCTCTAGATTCCAGATTCTGGTAGCTGGTCTCAAAGTTCTGGACAAAGGGTACTCTACTGCTGACCATGTCAAGAAAATAATCAGAAGTTTACCCAAGCAGTGGAGGCCTATGGTTACTGCTCTGAAGCTAGCTAAAGATCTCAACAAAATCACTCTGGAGGAACTTATCAGCTCCCTCAGAAGTCATGAGATAGAGCTAGAAGCTGATGAACCTCAGAAGCAAGGTAAGCCTTTAGCATTAAAATCTAACAGAAAATTTGAGTCTAAAGTTTTACAGGCAGTTGAAGAAACATCTGATGGATCATCATCAAAAGAAGACGAACTTTCTCTTTTCTCCAGAAGAGTAAATCAACTGTGGAAGCAAAGACAAAGGAAGTTCAGGAATCCCAGAAGATCTGATCAGAACGAGTCTTCTTCCAGATACAGAAGGACAGATTCTTCCTCTGGATACAGAAGATCTGAAGGCTCCTCCAGTAGCAAAAAGCCAAACACCAAAGACATCATCTGCTATGAGTGCAATGAGCAAGGACACTACAAGAGTGACTGCCCAAAGCTTCAGAGGGAAAAGCCCAAAAAGAAGTTTGGAAGAGAGAAGAAGAAAAGTCTCATGGCTACATGGGATGACTCTGACTCGTCTGAAGCTGACTCAGAATCAGATGATGAAAGGGCAAACATAGCTCTCATGGCTAACATTTCAGAAGATAGTGAAGCTTCTGAATCAGACTCAGAATCAGACACAGAAGAGGGATTTCCTAACTTCGCTGTTAACTTTACAAAGGCTGAACTTGCTGAAAGCCTTAATGAGATTCTGGAACGTTATCAGCAGATTAGAGCTAAATTCAGAGACCTGAAAAGGAATCTTGAATCTGACTCTAATAAGTCTGAGAGTCTCAAATTGGAAAATTCTGAGCTGAGAGATAAGATTTCAAAATTAGAAAACACTTTACAAAACTCTCAGAAGGAACCAATTTCTGAAACTCCCAGCAACGCTGATGAGATCATCAAGGAGTATGATCATAGTTTCCAGAAGTTCCTAGCTAAAAGCATAGATAGAAGCAGAATGGCTTCAATGATCTATGGAGTTAGCAGAAACGGCAGGAAAGGAATAGGATACCAAGGTAAGGTTCCTACACCAAAGAATGTCATGGACTTAACCATTAAACACACTCCTTTAAATTCACACTTTGTGTTTGGTCACATACATGATATCAAATATACTAGCAGTAAGCACTCTGTGAAACCAAAATTCAACCAGAGTTTTGGTAAAACTAACAAATCAGGACCCAAGAAAATCTGG